ACGGCGGAAAGCCTTGTCCAACTCGATAATGGCATTCGTAACATCATGCCCGGCATGATCCCTTATAAGATCAACAGAGTCGACAAGCTCTTGAGTCAAAGTTTTTAGAAGGCATAGGCGAGAACGCCGATCCTGCGTCAATGAGCGTCCGCCATCAGAAGGCGCCTTTTGAGCATCTCTCCCGATGCGACAGGCCAATGAAGATTGATCAGCTTCCTGTAAGGGTGCCTTCGAGGCAGTACGAGACTTGGTCTTTATGCCGTCGTCATCCGAAGGTGGATCGAAAACAGATTTTCTTTTCAGATCCATCAGGAATTCCGAGATTTATGTTGTTAACTCGCGGTGTCCTGCTATCTTCAGCACTACTCGGTAGGAACTATCCCCACACATGAGTCACATGATCCGCGTCGCAAACCGCCGTCTTTCACTCACCGTGCACTGGAACTTCCGAACCTGAAACTGGGCTCCACACCAAAAATGGCAGCTTCATGTAGCCGGATACTTGAGTTGGCCAAGGTATGCTGTTGAATTATCCCATGGCCTTATATTGGTTACCTTGCTGATGATCTCTAGACTCAATGTCGTATATTCTCACTCAATTTTAATCCCCAGAGGCTGCGACTGGGCAATAAAATTCTACGCCAGCGACTGCGTGGACCTGCACTTGCGGCGTGGTATCCCAGAAAGACTGTTTCATTCCGTGACTTGCAGGATACCTATCGTCCGCTCGGCTTGACCGTCTTCGACGAATATGAGGACGACCGGGAAGAGGCCATTCAAATGTAGGTCACAACTAACACTCCGGGTAAAACCTTAATCGCTGATTACGCCTAGTGCAAAACTGAGGGGGAAGGGAAGGCCTAAGAAAAAGAGAACTGCAGCTGGTATGACACTTAGACTTGTTCAAAGATTCATGCTGACCGGTATACAGAATCACGATCGGCGAAGAAGAAGAAATAGCCAGTGCCGTAGTGGAGTCCCCATGTCCTATGTGGTCGCCATACATAGGACGCAGCTCAGTTTGCTATCCTTATACACCTTAACTGCAAGATACTGCCGTTCAGACTTGTGTATATTCGTCTTCATTGTTGTCTCTAATCCCTCTCAAGATATCCGGGACGTCTTCCCGCTCGAGTATGAACCCATCTCACAAAGCCTGCCTGATCAGTGTTGCCCTCCCCGAGTCAGCGACTCGTGAGCTCCCATGTTCCGAAGGCGTTCGAGATTGGACTAATGGCGTACGCGCATACACTTCACATCAACAGCGCCCTTTCGCTTCGATTCACATGCTGGTCGTACTGGGTGCTTATTGTATTGTATATTTCGGAAATCTATATTCAAAACTGGACATGATCAAATTCCCCATTTGCACATAGGTTGTACTCTGATGCGGTTGTTCGAACATGTTATGGCGGCGAGATATCGCCAAGGCTCTTTATCCAGTGTCGAAGTATCGTGGCCTGGGTAAGACTCAAACGAACATGATCTGGGCGAACCTAGTAAGGGAACCCTCGGGTTAGACATATAGATAATTAGAAGCACTCCGCAGGACAGGGTCTGTTGCAGATCAAGCTGAGAACCCGGGTGGAAGGAGAAAGAACAACTGGTCGCAGGATACATCTCTATAAGCCCGGAAATTTGATTTGGCTGCTTAAAGTATAAAGTGAACATTGCTACGCCGTGTTGACGCAGTTTCTTGTCGCAGATGTAATCACAAGCTTTAACAATGCATTTGCGTCAATATATAACCACTAAATGAAAGTTACCATAAGTAGTAGTATAAGCTCGAACAAATAATCAAACCTGCTCCTAGCGCTTAGGAGAGTGTAGATCAGTAGGGCTCAGCTGGAGTTGAACCACTACTAATACTTAGTATCATCGGACCTTGTCTCTTTCAGCCTAGCAGCCTGCGTTAGTCAGAACGGGAGCGGATAGCTAGAATGGCAAACTGAACTCTTGGCACTAACTTGATTTTAACCACCATCAAGGCTCTTGCAGAACTTGCAAGTCGGGTCAGTGATTACGTTTATATTCAACACAGTTCAAAAGTCATACTGACGCTATTCTTATTTTCTGATATATCTCTTCTGTCCTGGGTGAATTCAGATCATGAAACAGAGCAAGAATCAACTAAGAAGGGCCAGGAAAAAGGCCTTGAAGACGAAGGTACGTCGAAAGCAACAACTTACCATCAATACGATTCAGTGAAATGAGATCTGACATCAAATAGGCCATTGAGAGCTATACCGATGCTTCCCATGAAGCACCCGAAACGCGGAGCCCGCGTTTAGTTGGCCAACCCGATGCTGCCAGTAGCACTCCTTGGGAGGTGGACCCAGACACCGGCGATTCGCTATGGCAGATGTACAAGGATATTGCCAGGAGGTTTGACGAGGATGAGGACGAAGTAAGACCATCGGCACAGCCTGAGAAACCCGAGGTCTATTTCGATGAAGACGATGAAATTCCGGACGAAGACGACAAGGGACCGAAATTATCAAAAAAGAAGAGAAAAGAATTGACGAAGCTTTCTGTCGCAGAACTCAAGGCAATGGTTCGAAAACCGGAAATTGTCGAGTGGACGGACACGTCAGCCCCCGACCCAAAGCTTCTCGTCCATATCAAGGCTCACAGAAATGTTGTCCCTGTGCCTCTTCACTGGTCTTTAAAAAGAGAGTATCTATCTTCAAAGAGAGGGGTTGAAAAACCGCCTTTTGCCCTGCCTAGATTTATACAGGAGACGGGTATCTCGGAAATGCGAGATGCTGCTTTGGAGAAACAAGAACAGGCGACTCTGAAACAAAGGCAACGCGAAAGGGTCCAGCCCAAAATGGGGAGACTGGATATAGATTATCAGAAACTTTATGAGGCTTTTTTCCGCTTCCAGACGAAACCGGAATTGACTCGTTACGGTGAGGTTTACTATGAGGGCAAAGAATACGAGACCAACCTTAGACACTTACGCCCTGGTGAGCTCAGCGCTGAGCTGAAGGAAGCTCTCAATATGCCGCCCGGTGCACCTCCGCCATGGTTGATAAACCAACAACGATATGGGCCACCGCCGTCGTATCCGGCTCTGAAAATCCCTGGTCTCAATGCTCCTCCGCCTCCAGGTGCCATGTGGGGCTACCATCCTGGCGGGTATGGCAAACCGCCTGTGGATGAACATAACCGGCCACTTTACGGTGGCGACATTTTTGGTGTGCTACAGCCACAGCAGACTGTTCAACAAGGAGAGCCTGTTGAAAGAGATATTTGGGGCGAGTTGCAAGAATCCGAACCTTCGGATGATGAAAGCGAGGAGAACGAGGATGAACCTGAGGACGATGTGGATACTGAAACAGGCTTGCAGACCCCCAGCGGATTAGAAACACCTGGTGGTATAGTGTCGAGTGTTCCATCCGAATATACTGGGGCAGAGAACGTTGCAGGCGAGTTTGACGTGCGCAAGACTTATCGAGGCACCCAGACGGAGGAACATGTGGGACGTCGGAGTGCTTTTCAGGTCATCCCAGAGAAACAAGCCCACGTACAAGGTTTCTTTGGAGCCGACAGAGTGTACGATCTCAAGGCGCCTCCGGAGGGCTTGCCTGTGCTCGGTGCTGAGGACCCAAATCGAAAACGGAAGAAGCCTGGTGATGTCGACGTGTCGGTTGACCCAGACGCATTGCAAGTGAGCGATGGGATGAGTAAAGAAAACCTACGAAGTCTTTACGAGTCACATAAGCACCAAGAGACCAATCCCAACTGGGATTTCCAAGAAGACTTGAGTGATATGATCGCTTATGAGAGTCGGAAGAGATTGAAAAAGGAAGAGGATCGACGAACGAAGCATTGAGGCCCGGTTCTGAACGACAACATAGGTAGCTGTACCATCGAGTCCCTCTTTTAGCGCGTTATCTAAACAAGTTCCAATGTCATAATCGTAATGAGCCATTTGCTGCTCATAATAGCCGCCCGTTCTTCTACTTTGTCCATCTAAAAGACCCCCCAAGTCTGCCAAGTGTCTGGTCGGACAACAGAATCACAGTCACTAGGTTTGAGCAAGACAGCCTCCAAAGGGGGTTTGCCCATAGAATAGTTTAAGCTGGTTACCTATTGTCCTAGAATTGCAGGCTTTTGTATTATGAATGACAAGCTGGCTGCGCCGAATTAACTTCAGGTTTGCTCCGCTCACTAGCATAGAGTTCAGACCTATGGTGATCACCATCTTACTAAGTACCTTGGTCTTATCTCTCAGGGAGCATCAGTTTTTCATGGCGTAATATTTACATTAAATGCTATTATAGTAACCTCTTGCTGCTGATTCCATATAGCCTTATACTTTACCCAAGGTAGTAGCAAATGGGATGCAGTAACTGGCAATGGCTAAGGGGATCATATATATGGGCGACTGCTATGAGGGTAGCAGGCAGCCCTCTATACTCCGTAGCAGAATTTATACTCCGTATTCTACATATAGATAAGGGCAGCTCTAAATAGGAGATCCCGCTAAGGCGGTGGAAGGCTTAGGAGGTAGAAGCTTCAGGGGCAGAAAGGCAGCGGAGAAAGAGAGAACTAAGGCCTGAAGGAAGAGGCATTGAGGCTAAACTATAACAGGAAAGTTTGCGAATTTTGATTGACTGCTAATCAGTGACTAAGATCATTATTAAGCCTTCGCCGTGATAAGCGATGTTTGATACCTTACGGTAGCGCAAAGCACCTTGGTGCCCATGATTTAATGTGATTTGATTGGTTATAGAGAGTCCAATTACACGTGACCTTTAGTCTTGTAGCCAATGTAGAATATGGGGTATAGCTGTTATAGAAAAGATACAGATTCATCTCTCAAACTGAACACCCATCAGTTCCATCTTGTTAAAGGATGTTGCCATCTTGTTAAAGGATTGTTGCATCTATTGTCATTCTTGGGAAAAAATTATCATTACATATAAGCTGATGACAGCTGTTGCACACTGTTATAGCAACATTACATTAAACGTCACGGAGCTTTGAGCAACATGGACTGGGAACGCAGTAGAAGGTAGGGTTTTCGTTGACGTCTCCTCTGAGACAACTCTTTGCCTAACGGGGTCTATCATGCTAGGTTCGAAGATCATCGTGGTAGGGAGAGCTATCGACCGCCAGCTCCTCGAGGCTACAGTCGTCACACATCCCCAACACGAACTCGTTCACCTCGGCTTGTCGCTGATACATGGGTGCCCTCCTCTAGTCGACACTACGGTCGTTTAAGAAGCCGTTCACCATTGCCTTTTAGACGTCATTCTCGAAGTCCCCCTTACCGGCACAGAGACTCTGATCCTGGACTATTTGCAAACAGTGCTCCAAGGAGATTCTCGCCTAGACGAGATGCACACCTCCGATCGCCTCAAATTGGGTGGCGACCGCGTTCACCGTATGATGACCGTCCTCGTGATAGCTCTCGCGGTCGATCTACCCCTAGACGGCGAGACCAAAGCCCTCCTAGGCAAAACTTTACATACCCGAAACGAGAGCGCTACCCACCGACTGTCGATCGCTACAAAAAATCTGCGTCTCCTCTGAGGCGGGGTCCAGGTCGTGCCAGTGATATCACTCCCCTGACGACAAGTCATCGTCGACGGAGTTCTTCACAGGATTTCCGGGATCGTCGTCCAGATAACAATACAAGCCAGGCGCGGCCTTCGCCTTCGACTAGGGCTGCTTCAACTATCCACAATTCAACCTCTAGCTCTCGTTCGGACTCAAGGCGTTCATCCCCTGTAAATGACAGGACCAGGACGACGGTGCGCGAATCGAGAAGCGGGTCACCAGTCACTCGAGACTTTCCGCAGCGCCGCCTGTCCGTATCTTCTGGTCATTCCTCATCTCGCCAAGCTGAAACAATCTCAAATGAACACAAAAGTCAAGAAGATGCAACAGATATGCCACCAACTTCGGTGCAAATCGCTGCATTGTCTAATGATCGTGGTGTCTCGGACTCCATGTTGGGCCGTCCAGAGAATAACCCGGAGTCTGCGGATGCAATTTCCAGCGCTACTCCTCAAAGTGGACCGAGGGCCTTCTCTACATCGTATGGCCAGACTGTAACGCCCAATATATCTGCAGGGCCCAAGCCGTCATTCAACACTCGGGGCTCCATGGTATCTCTACTTTCTGCCCCGACTCGCCCTCGCGGAAATGTGAATCCGAAGGATTTTGCTCGTTCTACTCGTCGTGGACACGTGTCAATCTCGCAAGCAACTCCTCCCACAGGGCTGCGCCATGGTCACATCCCGACTGGACCCAGTGTTGACTCTGATCGGCAGCATATCTATCGGCAAAACAGCTTATCTGGGACGTCTTATCCTCGCCAAAGGCCCACCAATTACCTTGCCGGCCTCAGTACAATTGTTCCAGGAGGCAGACTTCTGGCGTACGACATAGATACTACTGTGGAAAAGCGGCTTGCCCAGTTAGAGATGGACAAAGAGCGGTTATTTGAACAAATTGCAGATAGCCAAAGGCTGAAGCACCTTGTCATTAGAGACTGGGAGAGGCTAGATAGAGAGAGCTCTATCTGTGCATTGAAGAGTGAGTTAGCAGAGGGTCATTTGCTCTGTATAACTGATGGCGAGAGTATGCATACAAGTACCACGTTTTAATGAGAACCTGGGGGTCAAATTACAAATTCTTTCTTGGTGATTCAATCCTATGCCTGAGTTAAAATTACCTTTCAAAAACCAGGCGTGGAGTGGACAATGATCGGATGGGAGGGACGGATATCAAATTATTTGGTCTTTGCATCAGAATATCCAACTTTCTGGAAATGATATATCATATAGCCAGCAGGTACTTAGTAGACTAGTGGAAAGAATGAGGTCGGTCTTTGTAGTATGGAATATCATTCGGACCGACCTATTGACAATTGTAGCATAACTACGCAACGCGTCGTGTCGAGCCTTGGCGCGCAAGCTGAGGCTTCGTGTCTATATCTTAATATCCACTTTTGCAAACTGCGTAATTCCATCACGTCTGCGTGGATGACTCTACCCACTCACTCAGCGACTTGCAATTGCCTCTATGAGTGCTAAATATTGACATCCTCTTCATTGTGGATGTGATTGTACACCTGCTCCCAATCCATCACCATCAAGACACGCAGATTTTCAACTTCCAGCTTTTGCTAGGAAGTTCATTTGACCAATATGAATGTTTTCCGGTTATCAGGTGAGCTACAGTAGTCAGATCTCCCATCAACCGGCTCTATCAAACTAATATACTAATAGCTGATTTTTCTCATTTAATATCGATCTTCATCCTTTTGCATAAGATGAAGTCTTCTAGTGTACGACATTCCGATTTATTGCGCTGATATTATCTGACGCAGAAATGTAGAGCTGCTCTGGTTTATCTTTCAAATCACAAGTTTTGTATCTGCTGGTCTTTCTCACACGCTATCTCGGTGAGTCCTTTGCGCCGCCTATGAGAGCTTTCATTAACCATTATGACGGCCTAGATTTATTCTGGACTTTCACCGACTCCTTATACAACACCACCTTTAAAGTCCTGTTCATCTGCTCGTCGGCTTACATTATCTACCTAATGCTCAACGATTACAAACCTACCCGGGATCCCAATTTGGACACATTTAAAGTCCAATACCTTCTAGGGATCAGTGCTGTCTTGGCCGTCCTATTCCCACATGATTACAGCATTTCGGAGGTCTGTTACTTTCTCGGAAATATAGAGGCCTGAGCTTACTCTAACGTTTCTCAAGATACTCTGGACCTTTTCCATATGGCTTGAATCCGTCGCTATCCTTCCACAGCTTTTTATGCTCCAGCGCACCGGAGAAGCAGATACCATCACCACACATTACCTCTTTGCCCTGGGACTCTACCGCGCTCTCTATATACCTAATTGGATTTACCGTTACTTCGCAGAGAACCGCTTCCAGCCGATACCCGTCGTGGCAGGTGTAGTCCAAACACTCCTGTATTCGGACTTTTTCTACATCTATTACACGAAGTGAGTCAATTGCCCTCACATCATTCTTAGCGTTAGGCTAATGGAGAACAGGGTAATGAAAGGGAAAAAATTCTCCCTCCCGGTCTAAGTGGCGACAGGGCGGTTCAGATGGGGGTGATCTAGTCGATACAGAAGGGTAGAAGCAAGATTTCCCCGTGATTCTGATGAATCAGTTCATATTACTCTGAACAAATCATCTCTTCCCTACATCATTATGTATGTCTATCATTAGAAGCCCTTTGAAAGCACAAGGGTTAGCTATGTATTGTATACATCATTTTACAAGCCCAAGCTTCCTAATTCTGCATTGTTACCTTGCACCTGCTGCCTGTAGGCATCTTACACATGCTGGTCGCATTAATTATCTCACTTAAATGAAAAATAAACGATTTTCTCGGATATTTCATTCTAAGCCCAGGTACTGTATATGCGGTGTGCATGGAGAAACGTGAGACAGACAGGAGCTAGATGCAGTCGCACATCACTTACTAGTTTCTTTCTTGTCATTTTATAGATAGAGAGACCTTCTCATGTTAGTACCATGATTTCATTCAAATTAATATCTTTGGTGCGTCAGTAGCCGGCCCACATTAGCCAGCCCACATTAGCCGGCCCACATGCTGTATACATCTTTGGGTCCCAGGGCAACAAGTCCACTAGTTAACAGTGCTGGGCATTTATCCTCTTTCACTGATACTTGCACAACCATGGAGAATCTGAGCACCTTGTACAATGGAAAATGAGCAGATCTTCAGATATTTAGAATTATTCAGCAGGGTCTGAATCTCACATAGCGCGGAACCAGCCGGTCCGCAAACCATGTTTAAGACTGCTGGACGATAGGATACTTTGACCTGTTCAAAGTCGAAAGACTAGAAGTCTCGATGATTCGCCTGATCATTCGTAGTCGCATATGGCGGGCCATAATTGAGTTGAGACAAGTCACTGCCGTGGAAGGCATCTAATGTCATGGACAACGGACTTGGCAGGTTGGCCACCGATGCTCCGCTCAGCGATCTCACAGAACCTGCAATGAGGCCGGATCGTCCGACTGAGTCATGATAATTATCTGACCAACCAGCGTGGCCACTCAATTGACCCAAATAGTCTGCTTGCGACCTCTCCAGGGTGGGTTGACCGTATAGAATCGACTCTCGCCTAGAAGTTGGGGGGGAGGGAAGTCTCTGCGAACGACTTGGAGGCTCAAGTCGAGGGGAGCTTCTGCTTGAACTAGGGGGCGTCAATCGTGCACCACCCCGACGAACTCGGCATGTAGGACATATCTTGACGAAGCGGGAAATGAGCTCTTTTGGGACCCTTCAAGACTGGTTAGGAGGACCATCAAGGAGGATGGTAGCTTCATTCCAGGTATGGTACGAGCTTGAGCAGCGTCCTCAGAAACAGGGATAAGGATTGCTTACCAGGAATATATTTGCCGAACCTGTGCTGATGTTTTATCCCTACCGCCATGCTGACATTGCTGATGTGCCCTCGTGAGTATTTTGAAGAGCTTTTCTCGAATGGCTACAGGTTTTCCTTCGTGACAGATAATTTTTGCGCACTTTGATCCAAATCACAATATTAGTGCAAAAGGGCTTCTTGAACTCAACAGGTGAAGTACAGACATTTGAGGATTCAATGCCAATAATTTGAAGTTTGAACATCTTTTTCACCCAGAATCTATTTTCAACAACTTAGCAACCTTTCCCATGATGAGGAGAAAGTCAAGCAAGCGCCCAGACTGACACATCCAAGGGCAGGAATATTGGGACCAGGAGTTTGGGACCGGAGGAAGGTACCTGAATTGGGCTGATTCAATGGCAGTATCTTTTGGGTCGATCAGCACAGTCCTGATGTTCCGTGCTCTTCTGGCATGTATCAATGCTTTGTCTTGTTTCTTAACTGACAGATCATCCACATAACTGTTGTACCACGTGAGTGGGTGTACTTCAGAGGGTGAATTGAGCGGCTGGCATGAAACAACTTACCATCTTATCAATTGATCAAATTCCCTCACGCTAGGAAAACCCTCCAATGGAGGAATAACTGGCTCTGACAGCATCGTGTTCTCATTGAGAGATTCCTGGCTCTCTATTCCTATCTCATTGATTGTTTCACGAAGAGGTAGATACCTCGGCGACTGCAAATACCGCGCTTGCCGTGCACATTGTACGGGTTGGTGCTGCACAACTCCATTCTCTGGGGCGACCGGGATGGAGCGCGTAGATGATAGATTGATGCCGGGGGGTAAGCCGGCCTGAGTGTAAGCGGGTCCAATTTGAGGTGCGTATGAACCGAACGTTTGTTGAGAGAAATGATGTGGTGCCGTGCCATTGCTGCTGAAGTCATGGCTATCCGCATGGTTATAAGAGATGGGTAGAGCAATCTGCTGATTCACTAAATAGTTGTCATGACCCTCAGTGATACGCCTACTAAAGCCGCTCATGTCGATGGACTGTTGCAGCTTCGCTGTTAGAACACCGTGTAAGCGTAGCTCGCAGGCGAAGATGGGTAATGATTGTGGATGTATGCCAGGTCTTCCGGATACCTGAAGACATGTCATGACAGAATAACCATACGAGAGGATGTACTGAGGATAAACATATAGACATGGAGAGACTCACCCTAGCTGTTGATATCTGGAAGACCTGTTCCTGAAGTCGGTAGCTATTCAAGCAAACCGCTCGCATTTATGAACGGGGAAGCACCAAAGAGGGTTTGGGTAGAATCAATTGCAGCAGATGAATGGAGGTATTGAAATAAGCCGACAGCTAAATATATGTCTGAAAGGTTCGAGCCCATCCCTGACCCAGTCCAGTATGACTCGCATGAAGAGAACTGCCATACTAAGTGAGAAGCCATAACAACAGTATCCGGCAGCGATGCAAGGTCACCCCTGATGGAGCTTGGAAAGGGAACGAATACAGCTGCTGCAATTCCTAAAAAAAAAAGGAAAGGACAGAAGCTAGAACCCTAAACATAGGTGTGTTGAAACGCTAGATGCCCTAGGACAGGGTGAGGTCGATGCTTGAGCAGCTATGAGGGTAGGCACAACCAGCCTGTCAGGTACCATGTATGCAGAGGGAAGCTCCTTTGCGACAAAGCGTAGTGAGCTGCAGCGTCAGCAGAACAAATATTCAAGTTAATGGAAATATAAGCGGCAAAAGCACGGCAACGGAGTCGGAGCTGTGAAAGGGGCAGGGATCCATCATTAGACTTTACAGGAGACAGAAAGCAGAATAATAATATGAAGAAAGGAGGGGGTATCAGGGGGTGAAAAGGGTCACATTGCCACTTTCCATAATAGAATGGTCAGTTTGAGCTTCTTTATTAGTTCACTGGCCATCATATATAAAATGAGAAGAAGATTGAACAGGGTGATATTGACAGTATAGGTCTGTGAAGCTTGCCGCTCATGCTTCCAGAATAGTAGATAATCAGAACATACCAGCACAGACCTAATAGACTTCTTAGTTGCTGATCCTAGGCAATCATAGTGAGATTGCATAGGTACTTGAACATTAAACACTGTCACTCTTAGGTTGGGGGAGGGAGAAGGCTCATCTGGATACTATGTCTGGGCAAGTCATCACTGCAGATATTTCTTGTCCTTGAACTTTTGTTTTTCATAGTGTTACAGGAAAGGGCTGCGAAGTTTGGTCACTGTCAGCAACTGTCCTCAGATGCTTGTGCCTGTGTCCCATCTAGATGGATGAGAGATCAAACAATGGCACAATAGGACAAGTGATCCATCTCCAGTGATCAATAGGGACGGAGGTTTGATTGCTAGGTTCAGCTCCTGGGCATCTGAGTGCATGCCATAATTGTAGGCTGCAGGGCGCCTAGGGACGCGCATATGTTTGCGTTGGATCCTGTCGAACCATTGGACCATATATGTAGGAGTGTCTGGGAACATGAGTCTCGACAAGGCTCTTCACTGCAGTTGTTGCTGGGTGCTCCCTACCCTCCAGTACCTATGCTTCCAGGTGCATCCGAAAAGCCGGCTAGCACGAAGGAGATGAACTTTGCCACTTAATAAACATCACTCAAGCAGAGAATGCCTGACACATCACTATTGGACTGCACACGACGTGGTGAAAAGTTGCGGTCAGATTTCCTGTAGCACAGTCTCGGACCTGGCTTTTCTCTGTTATTTGCTTTTCTCCCAAAACCACTGAAAATGTCGAAAAATACGATGGCGAACCCGAAATGATGTGCTGGGTGCAATGATCATGAGCATGGCCAGAACCAAAGACAAGTGTTCAATTTCATCTTATGTCAAGATGGATGATTATTGGTAATTCATCGACGATTCCCTACGGCGGACTATTTGTACAAAAGGGACTTTTGGTTTTTTTACAATGATTACATCTTACCACACTTACCCTTGCTACAGTTGCACGCACTGCAGTAATATTAAAGTAGTAATTATTAAATAGTAATATTGAATTCTCATATAGTAGGGATATCAAATCGAATCAAATAGTATTAATATTGAATTGAATTCTCATATAGTAGGGATATCGAATTAAATAGTATCAATGTTAAATTCTCATATAGTAAGGATATCGAATCAAATCGTATCAATGTTGAATTCTTATATAGTAGGGATATCGAATTGAATAGTATTAATATTAAATTCTCACAGTAGGGATATCAAATTGAATCAAATAGTATCAATATCAAATTCTCATATAGTAGGGATATCAAATTGAATAGTATCAATATTGAATTGAATTCTCATATAGTAGGGATATTGAATCGAATCCTCATATAGTAAGGATATTAAATCAAATAGTATTAATGTCAAATTCTCATATAGTAGGGATATTGAATTAGATAGTATTAATATCAAATTCTCACATAGTAGGGATATCAAATCAAATAGTATCAATATTGAATTAAATTCTCATATAGTAGGGATATCGAATCAAATCCTTATATAGTAAGGATATCAAATTAAATTGAATGATACTGAATTCTTATATAGTAGGGATATTGAATTAAATAGTAGTAATATATAATTCTTATAGAGGTATAGTAGTAGGATATTAAATATCATTATATCTATGCTAGGTGCCACCACCCTGCTTCCTAGTATAGGTGTACTATACTATAACTGCTAACTATACTATAACTACTAATTTTATAATATTTAAAGCTATTTATAATATATTAGCCAGCTATCTAAAAAAAAATATTACTATTTACTTTAGCTACTCTTACTACTTTAATTAATATATTACTCTCCTTTCTAGGTTCTAGAAGTAGTATATTATTATATACCTTATTCTACTACTTTTATAATTATCTCTTCTCTATAGTAGCATCTTTAGCCCTCCTCTTAGTAATAGACTAGTTTATATCTTAAATCTTTAGTATACTAGTCTAGCTAAGTAGCTTAATCTACTACTTAGTATATTAATACTATAGAGAGGCTTACATAGCCCTAATCTATAAAATTATATTATTTACTATAAATAGGTGCTTAGCAGTAATTTAATTATATTTAAATATTTATTAAAGATTCTATTATAGCTTTAGTATAAGTAGATCTATATACTTAGATAGCTTTACCTAATTTCTTTTAAGAGTATTAATTAACTTTAGAGATGTAATATTAATACTAGAAGAAGATATTATAATTAGTAGTAGAGAGGGAGTAGATCTATAATAATTAGATATATAAATATTTAGTACTACTAGCTAGCTAGTAAGATTATTAATAATCTTACTACTATTAACTAGCTAGATATTATAATCTTTAAAGGCCTTATAGATAATTTACTAATTAAAAGCTATATCTTATATAGGTCTAATTATATATAGAAATTCTAATTTCCCTACTAACTAACCACCCTAGTAAGATAGCTTATTATTTAGGTATTAGAAATATTACTTATAGCTTAAGAATAGCTTATTATCTAGTAGCTAGTAAAGATATATTAAATAAGAAAGGAATCTAAATAGAATAATACTATTATCTTTATAGAGTTATAAGAATTTAAGTATAAGATAGGAGCTATAACTATTAAATATAAGTATCTATTTCTCTCCCCTCTTTATATACTTATTTATTATCTTAATAAAGTTTTAAAGCTATTAGATAGCTAGTTTATCTAATATCTAGCTATTAGGTTAAGTTATTATTATTAAATTTAATAATAAGGCCTTACTTTTATTAAATTAATACTCTATGAAGATTCCATTATCTATAAGAAGTAAGAAATTAAGAATTAATTAGAATTATTTAAGAGAATCTATAAGAATATACCTTTAAAGATAAACTATAAATCTATTTACTAACTATCTATAGATATATATTCAATTATTATAATATTCTTACCTCTCTTAGTCTTAGGAAGATCAGAGACTCCTTTATCTTTTATAGTAATCTTTATACTAATTACCTTCCTAGATCTATCTTTACTAGGTTAGAAGCTATATTTATTAAAGTTATATACTAGCTATGCTAGTATATCTTTAACTATATTTATAAATAGATTATACTAGTATACTAGTTACCCTATATCTTTAGCCTAGATATATTTTAATTCCTTTATATTCTACCTTACTAGGCCTAGATTAAGGTATTCTAGGAGTTATTTCTTAAAGTAATATATCTATATCTTACTAACCTACTTATTAGGCCTAGGCTGGCCGTTGGGAAGGGAAGGGATTTCCCATGGGATTTCCCTTCCCTACAGCCAGCCTAATTAGGCCTGCTAGTATATAGAAGTACCTAATTTATCTATACTTCTATAGGTCTAGGAGTTACTAGTATATTAATATTATATATAAATACTACCTAGTAATAGTATATTAAAGCCTCCTCGAGTCCTCCTAATATCCCTTAAGCACTTTATTAACTAGTTTCTAAGCTATATAAGTCTATAAGGTGATTTTAATATAATCTTATAATATCTAATAAGAAATACTATATTTATATATAATCTTTAAGATATTTAGTTTTTTTTTTATATCTAGCAGCTTTACAAGCCTTAATTATATAAGATTTATTAAGATTAGGAGCTTTCAGTATATTAGGTAGTTATAAATAGTTTTAAATATTAATTTAATAGAAAATTAGTAGTTACAGTGTGGTTAGTAGTTATAGTATAGTGCACCTATACTAGGAAGTAGGGTGGGGGCACCTAGCATAGATACTTATATATATTCTAAATATATAGTATAAGTGGTAGGGTGTACCCTAAGTCTTGAATATATAAATTCTAACTACTCTATATATAGGGGCACTACCTTAGTATATAATGATTTAATGTTCCTACTATATAAGAATTCAATATTGATACTATTTGATTCGATATCCTTACTATATGAGAATTCGACATTGATACTATTTGATTTAATATCCTTACTATATGAGGATTCGATTCGATATCCCTACTATATGAGAATTTGATTCAATATTAATACTATTCAATT